GCCTTCGCAATGTGGCCACCCTCACAGCCTTATGCAACCTATACCCCCTTCAGACTGGGAGGGGCAACTAACTCCCCAGAATTCTCAGGAATGGTGGGATGCTGGCAGCTAGTACAGGTTGGCCTCGACTTACAACAGTTCATTTAGTGACCGTTCAAAGTTACAATAGCGCTGAAAATGGGACTTATAACTGTTTTTCAGTTATGACCTTTGCAGCATCCCCATGGTTCGTGTGATCAAAATTCAGACGCTTGGCAACTGATTCATACTTATGACCGTTGCTATGTCCCTGGGTCACGTGATCCCCTTTTGCCACCTTCTGACAAACAAAGTCAATGGGGAAAGCCGGATTCACTTAACAATCGGGTGACTAACGTTATCAACTGCAGTGATTCACTTAAGAATCGTGGCAAGAAAGGTCACAAAATGGGGCCAAACTCATTTAACAAATGTCTCACTTAACAGGAATTTTGGGCTCAACTGTGGTCAAGGACTACCTGTACACACAAATCGAAGGCTGAAAAAAAACCCATTACAATCCCAGCCATGTAGAGGTCTTTTTTGTGGGAAGAAAGTTATTCCCCTGAGTCTTGAAAGTGGAAATATGATTCATATAAGAGCAGTTCCTTAAGACGGTTTCATTGAGTGCAGAGTTTTTGCAGGACAGAGGTGAGCTTTGAAGCCAGGGGCTTCCCAGGTTTTAACAGGAAGGGGAAATTCCAGTAGCAGCAGGTAAGGGGGGGGAAAGCATAAATTAAGTTTATGGCTCTGCAGCTTTAAGCGCAGGCCTAGACTTGCTTTGGAAAATACCTGCAGTCTTGATTCCCGTGCTACAAAAGGAGTAACAGTTAAGTGTTTATGGATGCATATGATGTCCTGAGACAAAGTAATATTCTTGTAGATAAACACAAGACTGGTACAACAGTTGAGCTGGGAAAAACTCAGATCTGGCTGCCCATTCAGCCATGCCATCACTGCAGGGGATTTAGGGAGCATTTTTATCTCCCCCTCTTGATGGCTTATTCAACAAATGTCCTAGCTCTGTGGTGGCGAACCTATGGCACGCGTGCCACAGGTGGCACGCAGAGGCCTCTTTGTGGGCACGCGCACCGTCACCCCAGTCCTAGACCTTCAGCTGGCTTTTATAAAACCTTTTTGCTTTAGGCCTCCGCCACCGTGTGCAAAAAAAAAAGTTTCAATCAATCAATTTCAACTTCTCGTGGGAAAAAAAAAGATTTCACAAAGTTGGAATTGATTGATTTCACTTTTTAGTCCCACCCAGTCTACCATTACCACCGAAGCCACGCCCACACAATGTGCCATGCCCACCCAATTGGCCACACACCCCAATGGGCCACGGCCACCTGGCACCCAACGATACATAAGTGGGTTTTGGGTTGCAGTTTGGGCACTCAGTCTCTAAAAGGTTCGCCATCACTGTCCTAGCTTAAAACAAGAGCGGAATTTAACCTTCCTTAATAATACGAGTTGGTTAGAGAAAAAGGGTTACAGCAGTCAACAGATGCTTGTTTAAGGATGGATTTCCTGCATGTACAACATCTCTCCAGATGTGGAGGTCCCAGATGCCAGGAAGATGGGGGGGGGAACCCTGCCTCCAATGCTTGGTGAAGCACAGGGCTGGCCCTTTGGGAAGGGGCCATTGCAGAGAAGAGCAGTTCCTTTCCTCGCCCCTCCTTGTCAAAAGAAACCTGCTTTTTTTCCCAAGAAACACGCAGGAGCCCCATTCACACAACTCCCCTCCGCCACTTCGCAGGAAAGCTGGGCTTGCGACCCGCAAGAGCCACATTCACACGACCCCCCCCCTCCAACGGCTCATCAAAACCTGCTCCCCACCCAGCCTTCACACGCAAACGCGTCCTCCTCGCGCAACAGCCCTCCCTCCGCTGCTCTCCCCACCTGCTTCTGACACGCAAGAGCCGGCTTCCCACGACGCGGGGGGCCGAGCGGGCGGCTCGAATTCAAACAAGGGGCTCATGGCGAATTCAAACAAGGGGCCCTCCGTCGCCGGGGAAGAGGGGAGAGCCAGCCGGCCGGCCGCCTCCGCCTTCCGAAGCCGGGCGCTGAATTCGGGCCCATTGAGAAAAGCGACGCGGAAAGAGCCGCGCAGCCCGACTTCGCCTCCGCCACGTGCGGGACGAGAAGGCCCCGCCCACTCCGCTCCGCCCCTTAGGCCCCGCCCACGACTTTTTGCGCAAGCGCGCGGCCGGGGCCGCTTGGCTTCCCCTCAGCGGAGAGTGCTCGCTTTTTCCCTCTCTGCTCAGGCTTTCCCTCCCCGTCCCCGCCGCCGCCGCCGCCGCCGCCGCCTCACCTGGACCTCCGGGGCGCGCGGGCCCTCACCGTCGGCCGGCGACCAGCCGCTGCCCGGCGGCGCTTCTGAGGCGACGGAGGCGCGAGGCGGGAAAAGCCCCCAACGGCCGAGTCAGCCGGGGAGGGGGAGGGGCTGCGCGCGCCGCCTCCTCCTCCTCCTCTTCCCCCCTCCCTTTCGGGCGCCCACCTCGCTCCCGCCTCCTCCCTGGCGCGCGTGCGGCGAGTGAGCGGAGGAGGAGGAGACGGAACCACAACAGAAAAAAAGGGAGGGGGAAAGAAAAAAAACCAGTCGCGCGCGAAGCTCTTGCTCTTTTCCCCCCCTCCCTTTGATTTTGAACGCTTCCAGCCAATCGGAGCTCTCCGTCGGTTTCCGGGATGGGATGTCTTTGAGCTTCCTCGCGTCAGAGGTGGGGAGAGAGAGAGAGAGAGGATGCCACGCCCCCTGTATCGCTAGAGTCTCTCTTTAGCCGCGCCTACCGCCTGGCCACGCCCACAGCGTTTCATTCTTGGGGAAAGAGCGCGGGAAGCGTGGTCGAAAGAAATGAATGAATTCAGGAGGGTCTCCCTAGTTCCCGGGAGCCCTAGATCCCATTCTCCCCATCCATAGGCCGGATAAACCAGGGAGTTTTGCCCAGCCCGTCTGAAGATTCTTGCAGGTTTTGACTGATGGCAAGTGTCTATTACAGTTATTTATATATATATATATTATATAACAATCCAAGGTATATACCTAACAATAGGTTTGTTGTTTTTCTTTATACACAGTATATATTTTAACAGCAATTTCGTAACAGTAATCTTCTATTATTTACATTTCCCCCCTTGTTCTTCTTTAGAGTATTTGTCCTTGTTGCCCCATTATTTCTTATTTGCATTTTTCTTCCTTCATACATTATTATACACACATTTTCCACTTTTAATCTTTCCACATGTATTCTCTCTTATTTCTACTCTCCAACCAGTCATACCACTTGTTCCATATTAAATAGTATTCTGTGTCTTCCTTTTCTTTTATCTCTTTTGTTAATTTGTCCATCTCAGCACAATAGGTTTAACAATCCAAGGATTTGACAAAGTACAAACAATTATACAGCAGTGCTAATAAAGTCAGAAAAAAATATGTAGAATAATGAATAGATAAGCTACGTTTGTAGAAACTAAAAATATACCGCTAAAATGTTAATATAGACCAGTGTTTCTGAATCTAAGGAACTTTTAAGAAGTGTGGACTCAGACTCCTAGAATTCCAGTTGCTGAAGTTGAAAAACACTGATAAAGACACTAGCTCAATCCTTTAACATATTAAATCTAATCATATAAACAGTCTATTTCTCCAGCTTCTCGGTTTTGGTGCAATATGTCATTTTGCTATTGCAATTATTAATATGGTACCTTCTATGTGCCTCACAGATTTAAAAAATAAAAAAGGACACCCCGGTACCTTGGAAGAAAACTGATAAATACACCATGCACAAACAGGAAAAAAACACTTTGGCCAAAGATTTTGAAATGCAAGCTTTCCTCATATTTTTGACCTAAAATACAGACCTTCACATTCCCAAAGGCCAATTGCAAATGATCTTATATACTTTTTTCAAGTAGGATCTTGGTGCTTTTTTCTTGCATGTGAAATAAATGGGACACTCTGCCAATAGCCAAAGAAAAACTTAAGATTAATCGGGTCATGCTAGGTAAGGTCAGGTACAGAAGGGAAAACAAGGGGTTGGAGTAGAATGCTGTTTAAAAAAACAAAAACCCAAGGCTTAAGAATGCTGGCAATGCCCTGTTTGTTTTAAGCGGGCGCTTCTTGTAGAAGGTTTACTGTTGTGTTTCGCAAGTGCCACACGCTGGGTGGCTCTCTTTCCCTTCCGGCTGTTGCTCTATCAAGAGGAGACACACACAGAGGTATGATTTGCTTTGCTTTTTTTAGTTCTGGGCTGGCCTTCCTCTTGATCTCAACAAAGGTAAGTTAATAAGTCCTGAAAGGGTGACTTGCCCTGTGTCACAAACCATTAAAACAGCTTGTTTGTGGCTTGAATAAACTTTGCTTTCTGCACCCACTCTCCCCAGGGTTCTCTCCTCTGTCCCCTCTTCCTGGATTTTTAACCATCTTGATTGTAGAAGCTCCAGTGATTGTGCGTGGTTGTGTCAACCCACCCATAGCCTAATCCAGTGACTGCATTTCGCTAGGAGACTTGGGATTTCTGTTCTTCCTCACGATCAACATGGCTACGATGGCTGTCTAGCAAGAGTAAAGTGGAAAGCGGGGTGGGCCGAGAGCAGAAGACAGCTGCCAGTCATCTCAGAAATAAGGCAGTTGGTGATGCTTTAGCCAAACGGCACTTCAAAGCCTCCAGCTCCTGAATTAAAAGATTTTCATGTTCTTATCTTGTGTTTGGAACCAAACTAGTAGCCAGTTGAGACATTGAAGCAATGATGGGATCTGCTCCATTGCTTCAATCAGTTGAGTTCACCCAGTTGGAGCACCTGGGATCGGAGGAAGCTTTCAGATCATCTTCAGAGGGTGCCACCATCCCCTGCATTGCAGGAGCATGATCTGCAGATCCCTGCAGTGTAAATAACTTTCCTTGTTTTCACCCCCTGTCATTAGCATCCTGAGAACCACGGATAAAGTTGAATTTATTTATTTTCCTCCTGCAGCAACAGCGACCATGAAGTCCTATCAGAAGCTGACAACGAACGTGTCTCAGACCACCGAGGCGGGGGAGGATGGTGCTGATGGAAAACCATTGTGCCATCAGAAGTTGTCGGCTTGGTGGCTAGGTGGGGGCCTCTTGATGGTAGCCGCCCTCCTAAGCGGGGTGACCGTTTGGGTTCTCGGGCAGATTTGGTGGGATCAGCATGGGGTTCCCCTCTTGTCAAAATGTACCTCCGTGCCAGAGAACCGCCGCTTTGACTGTTACCCGGAGAGAAGTGTGATTGTGACGCGAGAACTTTGTGAGAGTCGGGGGTGCTGTTTTGTTGACGGCGAGGGGCCCCTCCATGGAATAAACGGGGTTCCGTGGTGCTTTTATCCCCCCGATTTCCCCAGCTACACCTTGGGGAGCACGAACGAGACCGACCTGGGGCTGGTGGGTTTTCTAACCAGAGAAACAAAGACTTATTATCCAAAAGATATTGAGAAGCTTCAGCTCAGTGTGGAGTTCGAAACAGACTCTCGGCTGCACGTCAAGGTGAGACGTTGGTTAAAAGTTCTTGCAGCCCTTTCATAATGGTGTCTTTGTTTCCATGGGATGCAATGTTTGTGCTTCTCTCGCTTTTTTCTAGATTGCTGATGCCATCAACCCTCGATATGAGGTGCCTCTTGACGTTCCTCAAGCCACCAAGAGAGCAGAGAACCCTCTCTATTCCGTTGAGTTCTGCAAGGAGCCTTTTGGCTTGATAGTCAAGCGAAGAGTTTCAGGGACAGTTCTGTAAGCATTTCCCCCCCCCCTCTAGGTTAGTGGTTTTCTCGGGCTGTCTTTCCAGAAAGATGATGTTGCCTGATGGCCCCCCCCCCCCGTCAGATTAGTAATAGCCAAGGGGGGTTGCACAACAGCTCCATGCCCTGAAATCAGTGTGCTTCTGTATTTTTGAAAAAGAGGAATCCAGATGTCATTGTTGTCGCAGTGCTGTGTTTCCTGCGTTGCCCTCCAGTGCTTTTGCCTTCATGAAGGACAGCCAGTCAGGGACCATAGATGGTCAGAAGGCCACCTGCTCAACTTCTGAAAGTTTTTAGTAAAGGCAGGAAGCTTCTCCTGGGATTCCTTACTGCTTCATCTCGTATTTGTGGTCTTTAGGATACGTCACCATAAGACATGCAGGATCCGTTCGTTGTCTCTCAGCCTACACCAGGGGTAGTCAGTCAACCTTGGCTCTTTTATGACTCGTGGACTTCAACTCCCAGAATTCCTGAGCCAGCTAAGCTGGCTCAGGAATTCTGGGAGTTGAAGTCCACGAGTCATAAAAGAGCCAAGGTTGACTACCCCTGGCCTACACCAAGGTTAGCACATGCTTTGCAGCATCTCGGGGTTCCTCACTAACTCAAATTGAGGAAACTCTTTTCCTGGTCCAAAGCTACAGATTTTTTTTATTTATTTTCCTGGACTCCTCGGTCACTTTAGTCACGAGCGATTGAGGATCTAGTTGCTAGCTCAATGACCTGTGCTCCTGTTGTTTTTCAACATTTCTTTGCTGTCCTCCTGAGAAGCTACCCCTGAGCCATAAAAACTGACCAAAAAAAATTCAAAAAACCCCGTTATCTTTCTCTTAATTGGGATGTTTCCTCTTGTAGGTTGAACACCACAGTGGCTCCCCTGTTTTTTGCGGATCAGTTTCTCCAGATTTCCACTGTCCTCCCTTCTACGTTTCTTTATGGGTTGGGGGAACATCAGAGCAACTTCCTGCATAATCTGGAGTGGAACACGCTGCCTCTGTGGGCCCGAGATGTCCCTCCTACAGTAGGTTCTATGCTGGATTTATGAGTTGATTTTGAGTTGATTTATTTTAGGTAGTGGTTATGGGGTTTTTGTTTGTTCACTCCTTCTCTTGGCGTTCATGTGCCAGAATGGACACTCAGGGTGGTAACTATTTATGATGTCTTGTAACATTTTCAGTTCTCGTGTGTCTCTGTATGATGATTGGCTAAGGAAAGAAAAAAGCCTAAATGAAGACGATATCCTTCCCTCCCCCCCCCTCTATTGTGTTCAGGAGTCCTACAATCTCTATGGCGTTCACCCGTTCTATCTTCTCATGGAGAAAGATGGAGCTGCCCACGGGGTTTTCCTCCTGAACAGCAACTTGATGGGTGTGTGTGTGTTTTTTTAATTCCCCTTTGTTCAGTTTCACCTTTCTGAGGCAGGCATGAAAGCCATAAGGATGCACCTAATAAAAATCTGGACAGTCTTTGGCATGTGGGAATGGTGCCCCCCCCCCAAAAAGCAGAATTGCTGGAATAGCAAGTCCCTTGAGACCCCTTGAGTTGTAGCGAAGCATATGTTGATGCTTTTGAAGTGAGTAAGCATTACCTCTTCATGGTGCTACATCCCAGAATATCTTCTTAAAGGCTTAATTTGACCTTTCTTTCTTTCTTTCTTTCTTTCTTTCTTTCTTTCTTTCTTTCTTTCTTTCTTTCTTTCTTTCTTTCTTTCTTTCTCCAGAGGTGGCCCTTCAGCCTGCTCCTGCCCTCACATGGAGGACCACTGGGGGAATTTTAGATTTTTACATCTTTTTAGGACCAGACCCCAACTTGGTGGTCCAGCAGTACCAGCAAGTGATTGGTGAGTATCTCAAGAACCAGCAAGACTTTTTCATCTCTTCAAACTGGCTGGAAAATTCAGACAGGAGCCAAGGCTGATGGGGGAGAGGGGGAAGTGGAAGCCTACAGGATTTAGGGTGCCCAGTTGGGGAAGGCTCTGCCCTTGCAACCCAGAGACTTACTCAGGAGCACCTGATGCCCATATGGAGAAGTTTATTCACTCATGCTTAGAAGCTAACCCTGCCTTCCAGCTTTGACTGCGTTTGTGTTTTGGGTCCTTATCTAAGAAACCTTCCAAAGCAAATATAATTCAGAGATCATAGCTCAGGAACAACTGCACTATTTTTGTTGGTTTTGTTTCTCTGCCAGAAGAACCTTCATAAATGACATTTCTTCTTTATTTCTTCTTTTATTGCTTTTAAAATAATGACAGAGAAATGGGGGAGAAAACCCCCACCAAGATTAAAAAATACATGCATTGTCAAAGAAAAAAAAACACATAGAAAGAAAATGACATTAATTATAACTCCATTTAAATTATAATGTCAAAAGAGGTGGTCACCTGCCCAGTAGAAGTTGGTCCGACTAGAGAGGCTGAGAGGTGTTGAATTCCCACCACTTCCATTTCAGGGTTTCCGGCCATGCCCCCCTTTTGGGGACTGGGGTTCCATCTCTGCCGTTGGGGATACGGGACAAGCAACGAGACCTGGGAGACGGTCAAAGCTATGCGGAATTTTCAGATCCCTCAGGTAAAAACAGTAGGAACCTTCCACGAAGGAAGAGAAGATGAATTCAGCCTCTAATCCAGCCATTTCTCCTGGAATGTACGTCCTCTCCTTGATCTGTCCAGGAACTGCTTGGGGATGATGGCAACTGTAGCCCCATAAAACTGGATTACCGGGTCTCCTCTGTCTCTGGATGGGACCTCAAATCTACCACGTAACAAACGAGGCCAAATGCTTCTCCGCGTTCTTCAGAGGAGCCATCTCTAAATGGGTTCATTCTGTACCAGCCAGCCTGGAGATGCTTCCCCTTTGTCCTCTCTCTTGTTCCTCTTGCAGGATGCCCAGTGGAATGACATCGATTATATGGACGGCTCTCGGGACTTCACCGTGGACTCCGAGAAGTTTGGCAGCCTACCCCAGATGGTAGAAGATCTTCATAAGCACGGACAATCCTACGTGCTGATCCTGGTAAGAGCCTTTCTTCTGTTCATGCTTTGGTGGAGTGTGTGTTTGTAAGTAACATGGATTTCTCTTTCCAGCCAACATGTCTCTGTGCTGTGTATAAATATAAACACACACCTAGAGAGAGACCGTCTTTTTAGGGGGTTAGAGCAAGCTGCAGCAGTTCTAGCAAATTTCAAATGAGCAAACACAACCTGTCATGGCTAAAGGATCCTTTGGAGCCGGTCCTGGAATGCTGGCCTTAAAAATGTCTGTTCTCCAGATGTGTGCTACTATGGACATTTCTGAGAATTATAGCCGTACATCTGGAGGTTGCCCGGTCTGGGGAAATTGCTGTATAAAACAGCTGGTTCTCATGTTATTTTTTTTTTCAGGACCCCGGAATCAGCAGCACTCAGCCTCCTGGCTCTTACTGGCCTTACGACGAAGGTCTGAAGCGCGGCGTGTTCATCAATAACACTGAAGGGAAACCCCTGATTGGAAAGGTTAGTATCTGCTTTCGGTTAACCCATATTGTTCAAAATGGCTGAGAGTTAATAAAAAGAACTCGGAGACTTCCTGGAGGCATCAGAGATAAGGTGAAGTGTGAAATTGTCCGTTGCTGCTGCAGGTGGACTTTGTAGTCCTCTGATTATGATGTCTGCCTTTCCCTCTGTATTCCTACATACCTGGATTTCCTTGTAGGCCATAAGAAAGTTAAATCTTACGTAAAGCTCAGAAGGATTTCGTATCTTTGTTGTCCATGCTCCAAAACCACTTTCAATCAAGCTGTTTTGAAGGTGTTGTCAATCTCATAAACCCAGGAGAAAGTATTCTGTACATGTACTCAGAGTTCTCTGTTTGAAAATATTTCTTTCCTCACAATTTCATTTAGAATAGCGGTGTCCAGCTTTGGCAACTTCTGGACCCGAATTCCCCAGCCAGCCAGGCTGAAGTTTTTATGAATCTTACTACCAGACCTAGTATTATTTTTTAAAATGTCATTTTCTCGCCAGGTCTGGCCCGGCTTCACTGCTTATCCTGACTTTACCAACCCAACCACTCATGAGTGGTGGCTAGAAAATCTGAAGCATCTTCACAGTCACGTTCCTTTCGATGGCCTTTGGATCGTACGTTTCCTTCTTAACTTCTCTTGGTTTCTGTCTGGCAAGACATGAACGACTGGGAACTGGACGTTAGTAAAAATAGAAAATAGATATAAAGCTGAGGGCTTCCAAGTACCAAGTCAGGAACTCCATTAGGAAGAGAAATCAGGTGTGTGTGTGTGTGTGTGTGTGTCTAGCAGCACATTTTCTGATTAACACATTTCATTAAAATACATCAGTCTTCTTGAGCTGATGAATACATATTTTATTAGCAGCATCAGCTTTTGTGACTTACAGCTTACTTCATCCAATGCAATCATGTATTCAATGCTCCATGTAGCTCACAAAAGCTGATGTATTGTAAAAAAAAATTGCTAGCAAAGGTGCCACCAAACTTCTGGGGTTTGGGTTTTTTTTTTTGCTAACATAGATGAACATGGCTCTCTATCTACAATTCGAGAGTGAGACTTTGAAATGAATTTTAATTCCACCCAAATTTGACCTTGAAGTCAGTTTTCTATAGGCTGGACCGTCCAACTGTTAAGCTTAGAGCAGAGGTCTTCAAAACTTGGCAACCTCCCAGAATTCCTCAGCCAGCTACGGCTGGCTGAGGAATTCTGGGAGTTGAAGTCCACAAGTCTTAAGTAGTTGCCAAGTTTGAAGACCCCTGGCTTAGAGAATACCTGACAGATTACCCCTGGTTATAGAAGGCTAGCGTAGATTGTGTTCGGCAGCCGGACTTTGAATAGGTCTTCTTAACCCCATCTAGATCTCTTTGCTTTAGGACATGAATGAACCATCCAACTTCGTTGATGGCTCAACAGAAAGTTGCCCCAAAGGGGACCTAGACAACCCACCTTACATGCCAGGTAAGAAACGGGATCACTTAAAATCCGCAACAGCGAAGCTGGCACCAACCCTTTCATGAACTTCCACGCTACTTAAGCTGCTTCAGCAGATCTGCTAGTTGATGGGCTTGTTTCCGGAGAAGACACCCATGCCGGATCTTTCTTCTCCTCGCCTGCCTTTCTCTGTCTCCATTAGGGATCCTGGGAGGTTCTCTTTCTGCCAAGACGATTTGCGCTTCGGCCAAGCAGAGTCTCTCCGTGCATTACAATCTCCACAACCTCTATGGTCTGATGGAAGCCAAGGCCACCTCAAGGTAGGCTGGGCTCCTTTGCCTTCAGGGGTGGCTTTTTTGGAGGTGAGAGCAATAGAGCGTTTGCAGGCTCCTCCTCCTCCTCTTCCTCCTTCTTCTCCTTCTCCTCCTCCTTTTTCTTCTTTTCTCCTCCTTCTCCTCCTCCTCCTCTTCCTTCTTTTCTCCTTCTCCTCCTCCTCCTCCTCCTTCTTTTTTTTCTTTTCTCCATCTCTTCCTCCTCCTCCTTCTCCTTTTTCTTCTTTTCCCCTCCTTCTCTTCCTCCTTCTCCTCTTCCTTTTCTCCTCCTCCTCCTTCTTTTTCTTTTCTCCTTCTCCTTCTCCTTCTCTTCCTCCTCCTCCTCCTCCTCCTCCTCCTCCTTCTCCTTCTTAAATATAAATGTGTGGTTCAAATTATTGCTGAGATTCTTCCTTATCTTTCTTCTCCTCCGAATCAACACTTCTTCTTCTTCTTCTTCTTCTTCTTCTTCTTCTTCTTCTTCTTCTTCTTCTTCTTCTTCTTCTTCTTCTTCTTCTTCTTCTTCTTCTTCTTCTTCTTCTTCTTCTTCTTCTTCTTCTTCTTCTTCTTCTTCTTCTTCTTCTTCTTCTTCTTCTTCTTCTTCTTCTTCTTTCCTCCTCCTCCTCCTCCCCCCTTTGCCATGCTGAGGATTCATCAGCCTTGTAAATATGTCTATTATTCTTTATTACGTTTGTTTTTTTATTTTCCTTGCAGGGCTCTTGTTGAAATCCGAGGGAAGAGACCCTTCGTTATTTCACGTTCCACATTCCCAAGCCAGGGCAGGTATTCAGGACACTGGCTGGGGGACAACCGGAGCGAATGGAAGGATATGTTTTGGTCCATTCCAGGTACCTCCCGGCTGCTTTCGGACGTATTTTGAATATCTGCTGCTCCTGTCATACACAGACCGTAAAACGCCTCAATATCTGTGTGTGTTTTATAAAGCCAACATGAAGCTGTCCCATATGCACGGCTAGAAGTGGGTTGCGAAACTTGTAAACGAGAAACTTATGGGTAATTTGCCAGTACAGCAATAACGTATCAGAGCTGCCGGCATTCTGCATATTTCCATACCTATTTCAAGGCTTGTCCTTTATCTTGGATTTTTACCAATAAATATAACGCCCGGGATATCCATCCATAGTTAGGGCATCTCATCCTGGACTGCATCCAAGGTCAGACCCACCCCCCTGAGCACTCCAGATGCTGAAGCCTGCCCCTCTGTAGCCAGAGGCCGGCCTCATTCTGCTCCTGTCCAAATCCCCAGGCCTGCTGAGCTTCAGTCTCTTTGGAGTCCCCTTGGTTGGGGCCGACATCTGTGGCTTCTCCAGCTCCACCTCGGAAGAGCTCTGTGTTCGCTGGACGCAGCTCGGGGCTTTCTACCCCTTTTCACGCAATCACAACACTCGACTTGAGAAGGTAAGTGAGGGGAGGGTGGGCCAGGGGTTCGTTTCCCTGCCTCTCCCCCTATCTTTCCCCAAATCTCTTACTTTCGCCTCCCAGTCCGTGCTAGAGCAAGGAGGCTTTGCTTTTCCATCTCTTGTTCCTGAAAACCAAAGCACAGAATCGGAGCTGGATTTAACGCGAGAAAGCCTTCCTTTTCCCTGTGCGAAGGACCAATGCTCTTCAGAAGAGCCCACTGTTGCATCTCTGTAGGAGTCTCTGACTTGAGAGTTCTCCCTAAGTATGTTGTGACTCATGCAGAGAATTCTGAGAGTCCTTGAATGAGAAAAAAAAAATCTGACTCTTCTTCTGAAGAGCTCCATTACACTGGACGTAGCTAAAGGTTGTTGCAATATAGTTCTCCTCCCCAAGCAAAATGAACCACGATCGGATTATTAATTCTTTGTCGAAGACGTTAATGTCTCCTCTGAGTTACATTTGACTCCTAAAAACCTCCTGGGTGGCTAGGTCAGCATTTCTGAGAGCAACGCAAACGTCCTTCCATTCTGCCCAACAGCCCTCCCTCACCACCATCGCTCAGGCTCTCCCTTCCCCCCTCCACAGGCTCAAGATCCCACGGCCTTTAGCCCAGCAGCCCGGACTGCCATGAAGGCCGCTCTGGAACTCCGTTACACCCTGCTGCCCCTGCTGTATTCTCTCTTCCATCGGGCTCATCTGCAAGGGGACACTGTCGCCCGCCCTCTGTTTTTTGAGTAAGTCCTTTGCTACGTCTTGGATGAGCTGCAAGACAAGATTGCAAATTATTTCAGAAACGGAGGACTTCGGGAAGAGTTAGGGAACTGCCTTGAGGAAGAACACCATTCTTAATGAACCCAGTCGTCCTTCTTCTTGCGGGGTCTTCCTTTGGGGAAGTCTGCCATCTTTTCCTTCTTTTACTGCCCATGGCTGAGCCCTGCAGAAGAAGGTTCTTAGCCCATTTAGTTCATTCCCATGATGTCTAGGTAAACAGGTCTCCAGACCTGGGCAAGGCACCGTAGCCTGTGTTTCAGAGCTAAGTTCTGGCTTTGGGTGAAGTTCTTCCTAGCTTTGAATCTCAGCTCTGAGTCAGGTCCTTCCTAGAGATTCCCATGGATTGATGTATGGAGCTGGGCTTACAGACTGAGAATATTTTCAAGGAGCCTTGGATGGTTGTAGGTCTTAACACGACCTAGGGAGGATTTTAGGTAGGGATGATTTTAAAAGTAATTTTAATCGGAAACACAGCTGGCAATATTTGGTTTTTAATTCGGCTTTTATTGGGGTTTATATTTTTGTATTTCTGTATTTTTGTATTTTGTGTATAGTATTTGTTTTTTAATATGCTGTGAACCGCCCTGAGTCCTATGGGAGAAGGGCGGTATACA